TGTATTATTTTATATTATTTTATATTTTATTATTCCATATTACATCATATTAAACACACAAAAAAAGGTTTTGTGTAATCAGCAGAGGTTTCTCTTCGCTTGAGGCTGTTTTATGTTTTTTTTTTAATGTTTCTTGGTCTGAGACCAGCTACAGAACAGAATCTTCTTCTTGCATTTCTTCGTCTCTGAGGCTTCTGGCTGCGAGCAACCAGCTGGGATGTGTTGAACTTCTTTACCTCCACAACAGTTGAAGATGTGTTTGTGTCCATAAACAGGAAGTTAAAGATCAAACATCCAGATGTTCTGCTGCATCTGGTCGGGTTCTGACGCTGCAGAACACACTCAAGAATGTAGTTTGGAAATGAGCCCGGTTTAGTTTTTATCTTCTTCTGCTGGGTTCATGTAGCTTGTAGCCCACAGCGCCTCCTTCTGGTGGAACTATGCAGCCTACACTAACAATACTGGTTCAAAAAACAAAGATCCGTGTGGAAAACGTCATGTTACTGTATGTTCTGGAGAAGGCTTATACTGGAAACAGCTCACATTCCTGATCCATGTTCAGACAGCAGAGGTTTGTCCAGATAATGACAGGGGGCGCTGTGCCCTCTTACCAAAGTGCTGATTGAACCCTTAGAGGTCCGCCGTCACGTCGGCGTGATATAATCATGTGACATGTTTGAGACGTGACAACAGGAAAACTATGGTGTATACGCCGATGACGTCAACTTCTCTGTGCAGACTTTAAACTCTTCATGTGGACACGTAGAACCACACACATGATGTTATGAACATGCGCAACAAAAAACGTGTGTAAAATATAAACATATGAAACACGAGCTTCTCTCAACATCTCATCACAAAATGAAAGTGACACAAAGTCCCTGAAGTACAGCCGGCGGCCTCATTCTGGACACAAACTGTTTTCAGGAGTAGCACAGATACAAACAGGAAGAAAGCTTCACCTGCTGCCTATATGGTTGCATTTATAGTTGTATATGTTTGTATTTAATTGATTTTATATTAAATTGACCTTTTCAAATTCACATCTACAACCTGTGATCATATTTCCAACCTTCAAAATGCTTCGTTAAGCATGTTTATGGTTTTTATTGTCATAAATAAAACACTTTCAAATTGGATTTTATATTTTTTGTGTTTTTGAGCCCAAAATGTGAATATAGTTGGTCAAAGTGAAGAAATAACGGTCAGATCATAGAGGGAACGTCTGAGGCTGCTGCAGGGAAACAGAGAAGATAAAAAAAAGATCTGCAGAAGCAAGAATCAGAACGAAGACGACCTCTAATGGAGGAGACAACAGCTGCTGTGTGTGTGTGTGTGTGTGTGTGTGTGTGTGTGTGTGTGTGTGTGTGTGTGTGTGTGTGTGTGTGTGAGAGTTTAGTTGCTGTTGTGTGATGTAATGACGTTGATGTCACTCCAGGTCATGAAGGTGTCACTGAACCAGAACCAACCCTCAGGCTGC